GGGGAAGGAGGAGACCAATAAGGTGACTGCGATAATCCAGGCAAGAGATGACAATGGCTTGGACCTAGGTGGTAATGATGAAGATGATGAGAAGTGGTTGAATTCTGGACATATGCTGAGTATAAAGCCAACATAATTTGCTGAGACAAGACTTGGGCTTTGAAAGAGAGGATTTAAGGACTCTAAAATTCTTGGTTTGAGCAAATGGAGGGATGTAATTGTCTTTCACTGAGGATGAATGTGGGAAGAACAGGTTTGCTGGTAAGATCAAGAGTTTGGTTTTAGGCATGTTATATCTGAGATGCCTACTGGCACCCAAGTAAAGAAATCGAGTAGGAAGCTGGATATACAATTCTGGATTTCAGCAGTGAAGTCCAGACTGCAGAGGAAAAGCCAGGCATCACCGTATAGATGATATTTAAAGCCACAACAAGGGAGTGAACTCAGCTACAGAGAAGAAGGACCAAGCCGTGGACGCCTAACGTCAAGTGGTTAAGAAGCATAAATCAGCAAAGCAGATTATAAAGAAGTGACCACTGAGGTAGGAAGAAAACGTGAAGAGTCCTGGACTAAATGAACAATGGATATTCAGGAAGAGGAAGTGACCGACTGTGTCGAAGGTGGTTCATGGGCATAGTAAGATCAGGACCGAGAACAGACAACTGGGTTCAGAAAGCTGCTGGACCCTGGCAGGAGCGGTCTCGGTAGCCAGGCGAGAAAGCCTGGGTGAGTGGGTGTCAGAATGGGAGGAAAGAAATTAATGAAAATGAACACAGACAGGTCTTTGAGAAATTCTGCTACAAAGAGCAGGAGAAGAGAATTTTTGCCTGGGAGCAGAATGATATAGTATGTTTGTGATGCTCATGGGAATGATCTAATAGAGTAAGAAAAACTGATAAACAGGAGAAAAGAGGAGAACTGCTGGAAAGGTGTCCTTAAACAGGCCAGAGGGGGTGGGATCCAGTTCTCAAGCAGGAAGCTGGCTTTAGATAGGAGACGGGGCAGTTCATCCACAGTAACCGGAGGGGAGGGGAGGAGAGGGAAGAGTATAGGGGCACAGAGCCACGTGGTACAGACTGGAGGACACTCTCTCCTGATTGCTTTTATTGTCTCCAACAGGAAGCAGGGAATCAGCTGGAAGTGAGGGCATGGAAGTTGTTTGAGGTAAGAGAAACTGAAGGTATGGAATACTATATTTCATCCATTCTAAGAAAGGGTAGATATATGAAATCTCATAAAAAAAAAAACAACATATTTAATGAATTCAAAGGCACACTCCCTCCCCCAACACACACACATTTTAACATCTCTGAAATTGGGATGAGTCTTACAATGAGGGGCATTTTACAGTATAACTGGCAGTGACTTTTCTTAGAGGTACTTAAAATATTGCTACATTATAAAATTGATGAAATCTTAGATTTGATGAAGTATCACAGCTTTACTAGGAAAGTTGGAAAATAAGTGGACCAGGAAATGCCACAGGTTTGCTGGCTAGCATTCAGGCGCCACCTGAGGTTAGCACTCATGAATTTGAAGTGAGACGAATCAGTATGCTTGTTGCATGTTTCTCTCCAGCCACTGCGAGCTGCGGAGGTAAGGTTCAGAGCCGGTGGAGAGCTGGATTAAACCAGGTCTGGTGACTGGGAGGTGGCAGAGGAGTTGACAGTGTCCTTGAGAGAACAAGTATATTGGTGGACTGTGGCACATAAGCTGGGTAAGGAAGAACGTGAGGTCGGTGGGGTGCTGAAGGGCAATGAAAAGGTGGGTGAATCAAGCCTATACGTCTGGGAGAGCTGAAGAAATCATAACCATACTGATAGGGCGTTAGAGGGACTAAACTGGAAAGAGGACGTGGGGGTCAGTCAGATGCCTGACACGGAGATTTTGAAGAGATGGCAGTATTGGTCGGGACAGGTGTCGGTCTGACTATGCGAATGAGGGGCTGTGACAGGGTGGAGGGTAAGCCCACTGACAAGGAGGTCAGGGAAGTGAGGGGACAGGTACTGAAGGGACTACCCACATGGGTACTGAAATCACGAAGAATCTGAGAGCAGGACTACTGAAGAGAGTCTTCAAGGAAAAATCCTCAAGGAAAGATTCAGGTGTTTGCAGATTATTACAAAGTTCGCGGTCTAGTCTGATGGTATGAGATTCGGAACTGAGGGTTTCTATGGAAGAGGGAAGGAGAATTTCTAGAAGTGGCAATGGGGAGGCAGGAAGGTAACTATCCCATTTCGTGGTACATATTCCTGGTACATGACATATCCCATTTCACTGGTACAAAGGTATTAGAGAAAAAAGTCAACACTTGATAGGGTTGTGGGAGAAGCAGTGTGCTCAGGAGNTGTATGTTGTACTTTGCAAAACAAATATCTAGGCTAGACTGATAATTAAAAAGCATATTCCATTATATTTGTACATTGGCCTTACAAGGTAATAAAACTATTTACATTTATATTTTAATAAATGACAATAAAAGCCAAATTATTGCCAACTGTTAAAGCTTTATTTTATTCTATTTTTTTTAATTCTAGGGTACACATACTGAAAAAAACAGAACAAGAAAATGAGTTCGGGGTTTTTTCCTGAACAAATGACACCACAGTCTTTCCCACAGCATGCTTCTAAGCAATTCTCGAAGTCTAACCAGTCACATAAGATACTGAGTCACATAAGATACAGGCTCTCAAATTTGCTACTTTTAATTCCTAATTGGTCAATACCTAGCATTTTTACTTCTGGGTAAGAGAAAAAGCGTTTTGGTCCATTAATTCACCCACACGCTCCTGGAGGACATTAACCAACTCTGCTATGACGAAGACGTGCGTGTCATCAATGTCCTGAATGATGAACTTCTTCCCTAAGGCGTTTGACTCATCCAAGTACAGCAGAAACTGCTTCATGGCAGGGTCACTGCAGAGATAAACACATGACGATGAGGTACCTTATCGCAAAATTAGGCCAGAACCCGAGTGATTAGACTTGAGCATGCAGAATTTTTAGGTTAATTTAAAAAGGTCTCAACTATCACTCTCACTCCTCTCTGCCTCAAGTATTAATGATTTATAGAGGTAGCCTCATTTTTGAGCTGTTAGTGTAAGTTTAAGGGAAAGAGGCCAATGATAATATTTAAAAAGAATAATTTGTGAATGGTAAGTGAAAATGTTCAAAGCTTTGTAGTTAACAGGGCCTAGAATCACAACCTCCTAAACTGATTTTAAAAATTAATTTCCTTATAGTCTATGACCATTACATTTAAAAAACCAACAGCTTTTCACTACCTTGCCAGTAACAATTTAGAAAACCAGTTAAATCGCCACTTTGATAAAGCAGGGTGTACAGCAAGAGTCAGACCTGCATTCAATCCTGCCTTTATCACTTACTTCTGTGACCTTTGTATGTATTTAATCTCCCTTTAAGTGAGTCTACGTAACAGAATTGTCATGGAAATCAAAGGGGGAAAATGCCAAGGGTAGTATTTGGTTTGCTTTGCAGACTGTACTCAGGTCCCCACCCCCCACCCCACCTTCCTT